AATCCCCAAAAATCCGTTAGAATCTCTAAAAATCCTCAAGAATCTCTAAAAACCCTTCTAAATTCCCTAAAATGCTTCAAAATCACCTAAAATCTTATTAATCTAAAATCTTTCAAAATCCTGTAAAATGATGTGAAGATTTTCGAAATCCTCAAAATCCTACAAAATCAATGAAGAATTGAAATCTGTGTACATATTTTAAAGAGTTAACCACCCCTTGCATTCTACCTGTGAAGTGGAAAGTGAAATTTGAGGTAGTATGTTTTTTCCAAGGTTTTTTTATACCTAGTAGTTTAATGTTTCATTTTCACAATTTTTAGAGCCACATAGGTATAATAATAATATGTATTAATAGCTTGAAGCTAACATGTATAATATTTAGAGTTACAGTACAAAATTTTTATTATAGTGCAATATTCTCTTTCACATATCTAAAGCAGTCCCTTTTAAATGAATTTAGACTTTCACAGTTCTTCATGTGGTTTGGTAGATCATTGTATAGTATCAGTCCTTTATGGAACAAGTTCTTCTGGTCGAATGTTCTATGCACAGTTCTAACATAAAAGTTGTTTGTCGATCTTGTGAAATGATTATGTATATCCTGTACATTATCGCAGTTGTCAAGCAAATGACTAGGCACCAGTCCATGAACCATTTTGTAAATAAATACCAGTGTATTATAATTTATTGACTGCCGAACACTTAAAATACCAACAGTATCCAACATTGTTTTTATGTTTGCATATGTATTTGTGTCCAAAATAATACGAAGAGCTTGATTTTGTCTTTTTTGCATTGTATTGATTTCAGTGTTGTTTAGGAGAAACAATATTGTTGGGCAGTAATTAAAATATGACATAATTAAAGTCTTGTATGCTAGAAGTTTGGACCATTCACTCAATGTTTTTCTCATTCTGCCCAAGGCGTTTACCCTACTAGCAATTTTGCTAGTTATATAGGATGAATGTTTCGAAAATGTTAAATGTTCATCTATAATAACACCAAGATATTTAAACTCCTTTACTCGTTCAATTTCAATCCATGTTGTGTCACATCTTGTGTTAGTCCTAGTTCTAATCAACATAAATTTGGTCTTTTCAATATTAAGGCTTAGATTCTTCTTATTTAACCATATAGCTAAGTTCTCCATTTCTTTATTTAGGGTGTTCACCACAGTGCTTATATTGTTACCAGCACAATATAACAACGTGTCATCTGCAAATAGTTGTATATGACAGTCCTTTATACAGTTTACAATATCACCAAATAATGGCTTACATTGAAGAAAATGTTTTGATTGAATCGGCTTTTACTTGGTGGAAATCCATTATCTAATAAAAGATTTTTTAAGTTAATTTTAATACTTATATATAAGGTACGGTAAGTATTAAAATTTACTTAAAAAATCTTTTATTTGAAGAAAATGGTTTACTAAGTCAATACCAGGCTGGCTTCAGAAGAAAGAACTCATGTGAAAGCGCTCTACAGACTGTTCTTTGATTGGAAAGCTGCATTGGAAGATGGAAAAATAATAGGTGTAGTTTTTTTAGACTTTAAACGTGCATTTGAGACTATTAACAGAAAGTTACTTCTCCTGAAGTTACAAAAATATGGGTTTGGTAAAATTATTTTGAAATGGTTTGAGGATTACTTGAGTGATCGTATGCAAGTAACCAGATATATTGAAACCTCAAGCAAGAGGGAGTCTAGTTATGGTGTACCCCAAGGTACGGTGCTTGGGCCGTCACTTTTCATCTTGTACATAAATGACATTGAGGAATGTTCAGAACTGTAAAATACAACTTTTTGCAGATGATACCATCCTTTATATATCAGGTGTCAATATTGATGAAATAACAGACATAATAAATACTGAACTTGATAATTTGTTTCGGTGGTTGAACAACAATTACCTTCAGTTAAATGTAAATAAAACCAAAGTTATGTTTATTAGAAATAAGAATAAAAAGTTGGTTAATAATTTGAATATAAGTATAAATAATGAAAAGCTAGAAATTGTGAACTGTTTTAAGTATCTTGGTTGCATGATAGATGAGCATTTAACCTTTTCGGAACATTTTAAATATATTTCAAACAAAATGCCAAAAAAAGTTAACTTATTAGGACATATATCAAAGGATCTAAGTTCATGGGCTAAACTAAATATATATAAAACAATTGTTGCGCCACACCTCTATTTCTGTTCAACCTTGTTCCTAATGAAAAATTCTGAAGTTGATACTTTACAAAAAATACAAAATAAAGCATTACGAATCATATTGGGATGCAACAGATACACTAGAAGAACTGATATGCTGAGTCTCACAAGTCTGTTGAGTGTTAGGCAAACTTTGACCCTTAACACCATGTTGTTTATATTCAAAATGATTAACCAACTAGTTCCCCAACATCTTTTGAATAATTACAGGTTTGTTAAAGATATACATGAATATAACACAAGATCTAGAAATAACTTTTATTTGGATAGATTAAGTACTACTTATAGTCAGAATAGCATTTTTTATAGGGGATTAAAGCAATAAAATGAATTACCTGAATTTATTAAAAACTGTGATAGTCTTATGAACTTTAAAATTTCTTGTACTGAATATATTAAGCAAAATGTAAAATTATAATCATAAGAATTTAGCTATTTATCTTTTGTTGTGAAATTTCGTTACATAATGTAAATATTACTAGCCAAGTGCTAAATAAACTGATTAGTATTATTATTTATCATTTATATACATCACAGATAAATTTGGTCCCATCACTGTTCCCTGAGGCACACCGCAGAAGGTATCTCTCAAAGAAGACTCACTCTCGCCAAGTCTGGTTTTTTGACTTCTTCCAAACAAATAACTTTCTCTCCACTGAAGCGCTTTATTTTGAATGCCGTACTTTTCCAGTTTGATGATTAACAGCTGTCTATCAATTGTCTCAAATGCTCTTCGGAAGTCGAGAAATCAAGAAATAATACTACTGGAGTCAGCTCCACCAAATATAGATAAACTCAAGGACAAACTATAGACGGCTCTTTTTGAGAGAGTAGATTTTGACGGTTGTTTGTTTATTTATATTGGAGACAGATTGTTTGATATTTAAAAAATATGGGGATCCCACTCATACTCATTCTTACAGTACTCGAAATCGTAACGATGTTCCACTCCCAATTCCTAGATTTGCTTTGACCAGACACTCAGTAATTTTCGAGAGTATTAAAATTTACAATAAACTTCCAAATTATTGTAAAGTTCGTTTTTTTTTTAAAGATAATTCCCCAAGTCAAAAATTTAGTAACTATGTTGGCAACGCAAGCCTTTTCTACATAAAAAATTTGAAAGCATTGACAATTTTACATTATATTGCCAACATAATGTCATTTTGACTTTTATCTTTAAAAAAAAACAGATTTTAGGTCTTCTGAAAACTATAGAGGGTTTCGTAGGTCAGTTAAGAATTTATTAAAAGAGAAGGCTTACTATGATTTGGCTGAGTACTATGATGACACTTTCTAGCGTACTAAGAACTTAATGAGCCACTTTATTTATGACAGGGCTGATTTTTGCCGTTTGCTTTTATTAAACCCCCAGTAACTTTTTGTTTAATGAATGTAACTGTCTGTATTATTTTTTTTTTTTTGATACTTGTTTGTTTTTGGATATTTACAAATTGATTTTAATGGAAATTAGGTAATTATGTATATGTCAAATGTTGTAATATATGTTGAGTCTATTAGTTTCTAAGCCTATACGAAAATTGTTGGCCTTAATTGGGCAATTTTTTTTTTTATTAATGTTATTATTATTGTATTTTTATTTTATTTTTGTACTGCTAAATTTATTCTGCTTTGTCTGTAAAAAATTTGTATTTTTTCGACAATAAAGCTTATTGAATCTTGAATCTAGATATATTTTTGGAATCGGGAAATGGTGCTCTTCAAGAATATGTGACCAAGTCTAAGTAGTATGCAAAATTTCACATTTCCGATATCAATTTCTGTTTCTGACAACACATTCTGAAAGTTCACCATAATCAAATTAAATAAATTTTAGGAAGTATGAATTAGAGTTCAAGTAGTAAGTTTAATATCAATTTAGTTTAATATTGGAGGTATCGGGTCTTCAAAAAAAAAAAACATCGAAGATTGCTATGGTTTTTTAAACGTATGTCTGCAATACTTTTATTTAATTTTGTCAATGAACTTTAATGTCAAAATGTCATATCAAAAATCCTGACCAATAATGCAACAGTAATGCGACGTACGTTTTCCTTATCAAAGCAAATTTCAATTTTTTTTTTCACCCAATATAAAGCAGGCACGGGCACAGGGATTTTTTCAATTTTTCTATTATAGGTAAATTTGATGTAGGGAATGTTGGCCAAGATGTTGACATTATATTTTATTGGTGAGAATTTCATACATCTGTCAAAACTGGTATTGCAACAATAAACTGACATGTTTTGATTGTTGATTTGAACCAATCAGATTGGAATTACGCGATAATTTGCACTAGTGCAAATTATCAGATAATTGCATAGTAACTGGTGCGAAAATTGATGTATTGACATTTTTTGACAAAAAATTTTAATTTTTGATTTATGAAATTCTTTCATAAAATACAACTCGTGCACTCGTGTGTGCTCTTTTTCAACTAAAAATGCAGTGGGGCAAATTCCCCAAAAACTGTCGATAATTTCCATTGCACTCGTTATATTACTATTGAAGAAATTACATACAATACCAATACACACCTCAGCAATAAACTATAAACAAATCAAGAATTGACCCTAACCTCTAATAATTCAGTTGCTACTTGTTATTGAATAATCTCAATTCGTTTGTTTAGACCCAATGTAATGTCTTGGCTTTCTTGAGAATCAAAGTAAGGCGGTAAGGTTGCGCTTATACAACAAACAAGAGAAACAAACACAAAATAAACAGCCTTGCCTTTATGGTAACCGGCTTTTCGAAAAGGATGATGATGCTGATAACTTACAGAACAATCAAGGCCAATTCCGATCCTTGGAACAGCCATATGCATGAAATGATGCTCATTGTCTCCGCTGCTGTTGTAGTCTTGCTGGAGCCCCTCAACCAGTTTGTTTAGGACTTCCTGGGGCACTTTGCAGCCGCGGCCTTTCAAATCGGCGAAACGCGTCAATCTGAAGCTCGCTTCCAAGTCGTGTGCCAGAGGATCGAAAGGACGTCGTAGGGCCAGGGCATTGGGGTTACCTCCGAGTTCTAGCTGTACGGCGCCGAGCGCATCCTGTTGTACACCACCAACTTGATAATCACCCATACCGGCGTTTTGTTTTGGATTCGAAACGAATTTTAAGCCCGTACTATCGTGGTAAAAACACCGACTCCAACGAGGAGCGTTTCTCAAACAATCCAAACGTTTAACAAAATGGCGTATGTTCCCAGCAAATGCCACCAGCACGGTCGGACTTGACGAGCTTTCGGGCGCAAGTCCGATCGAAATGCTGCGATTTCATTGGTCGGATTTCGGATGTGTGTATTGACTGGTGGTTGTCAAAAGTTTTTCCTGAAATCGAGAACATTCCTTTGTGTTGGAACTGTAGGATTTCAAAAATGTTTTTTATTTAAATTCGTGCAGAATTAAACCTATCATTGTTAATGTTATAATACACGTGAATAACTATTTAAAATAAATTTATTTGCCTCCAATAACCAAATAGGAATCAAAATTATTCTATAAATTGGAATGGGTAGTAATTTTTCTTGCGGCGTTGCCAAGCTCCCCATTCATTAAATTCTAGTTTCAAGTAGTTTTTATGTTATGCAAACTTTTAAAACCCATCCACATAATAAATTATTGAATAATTATTAGTACATTTTTTATTACAAGGTCCAGTTTTAGGTTTTCCTTTAAAACGTAGATATGTGGTTTGTAAAACACTGCATTTTGCCGGTCAAGTTGTAAATGTAGTATCTTTTGGCAACACTGTTTGATTCGGGTGAAGAAGGAACGTGTTCGAAAACATGGTTGTTGATGAGACAATCCCTTTGTTGGCGGAAAACATTGCGAACCAATTTGGGACTAATTTGGTATTGTAGAGTGCATGCCTGATTATGAACCACTCCAGGATTTACCGCCATTAAATAGTTGTATTTCTTCCAAGAGTTAAGTACAATAGAGCTACTCGCTCCGGTCTTAGTCGACCCCGATTTGAAAGGAACAGATGCGCTGGCTTTCGTGCATTCAAATGGTTTGATTTGGGCTTGAGCACTCAGGTGCAACAAACACTTTTCGAAAGGAATAAGCGCGTAACGCCCCGGAGCGGTTCCGGAGCTCCTCCTAGGTGTGAAAAGATTAGAACTATTGAATTCGGACTAGACTTGGAACATTCGATCCGATCCCCCAACATCTATCAATATACCCGTATAAAAATGTGCGTGTGTCCCGAGTAGGGACCACGACCGAAATAAAATATCGGTTCTGTTCTGGTCCCGGTCCACAGCGTCATGACAAATATCGGTTCCGGTTCTAAGAGAAATATTTCGATTCGGTTCGGACCAATAATTTCGGTTTTAAAGGTTCATACCGGTATAGTTTTTCACAAATAGAAAGTTCTCGTGCGTCAGACGTTACGCTAATACGGTACCGGGTACCGCTAACAATACGGTATTTCACATGGTATTTTATAGTTCTCGGGCACGAAGACACATAAATCCTCTAATCCCTGATTCTGTTTATATTTTGACAGCTTAGTTGAGTAATCTAACCCCACTTTTTTTACTTGTTTTCTAACTTTTATTTATTCTGAAGATTCCTGAGCTTGATTAATTTTCCCTTGGTGTTTTTTATGGAGGAATTATTAGAAATTGCTGTTTTTGCAGACACAAATGGAGCGTAAACAAGTTTTGGCACAGCATAGCGTTACGGTAAAGCATCCGGTAAGTTCCGTTAGATAGCGGACTCCGCTAACGCTAATACCGTAAGAACTGTCATACTTCTTGTCAAATAGCGTTACGGGATTTGAAATTTGGACGGCACGAGAACTCTCTAATATCTATGACAGAAAAGTTTATGTTTCTGTAATTTGTGGTTTATTTTCTATTGGATTTTTCTGCTTATCTGCAACAATTTTAATAAATAATGATACATTTCTGTGTTTTCGATCAGTTAATTAATAAAAATCTCAATTTCACCAGCACGCTAAAGTATCAGTGATGACGTAGGCCGCGTGTCGTTTTTTGCCGTGACGTAGGGTGCTTGCACTACAGGTAATGATCGCGCTGATTTTTGCTTTGTGCATTGTGCATATTTGGTTTTAGTACATTATTTAATATTAACAACCTTTGCTTAGATCTCATTGCATCTTCCTCGTGCCTATTTTGTTGATTAAAATTAAATGATATTTCCATCATAAATATGATGTATACCCTTAACTACGACCGCTGGCGCAAACCGCTAACGACGTCGCCAACGGTGCAACATCATATGAAATTGATTCCAAAAATCGAGGCTGATTAGCAATCTTGTGGTAGTGTGTAATATCCTTGGTGTAACCTAGCCGAGTTCAGAAATGCGCTTTAACGCTTTATTTTTTTGGAGTATTAAATTTATGACGATACGACCCAAGGTTGTTTGAGGGAGGTAAGTTGCCTTGCCTGATAACTTCATTACGTCATCGAAGGTGCCTCAACATATTGCACCATAAGGCCGATTTCACACGTATACGGTTCCATTCGGTTCGATTCGTTTGCAGTTATTTTTCGGTCGCTAACGACATGGGCTACGTTCACTAGAACCAAAACGGATTGTGAACAGTTTACAAATACCAACAGAAGGCGTTGGATAAGCTCTTGGTTCTACTGAACAATTCAACTTTTCGTAACCCTCTGAATGACATGTCAGCACAGTTTAGTTCGGAATGGCATTTCAGTGCGGCGTTCGTGTAGTGCAGGGTGCGGGGCCGATCGTCGGAAAAATCGTCTCGTTATCGAATCGTGATTTCTAGAATCCTCGGCCAGGATTATATCACGTAATGAAGGTTTAGTTTAATCGGCGGTGTAACACCGAATACACCACCATTTTGTACCGAGTAAACGATGTCTCGCCATCTTTACACTATTCTGGCACCAAGTTATTTCCAAACTCAAATAAAGTGTACACCAAACTAACTCCTACCAATTAACGAACGCCACAGTGTCGATAGTGTAAAAAGTGTCGACACTCTGTATCATTTCGAACTCACCTTAGTTGTACTACGACTTGTCGTGCGTTCGGTAATTTGATCTGAGTTCTCCGAGCATGAAGTTACCGTTCGTTTATATAGAAAGTGTATTCGGTGCAGGCTCATTCGCGTTCGTTTATTAAAATTTCTGGCACTTCGATACATCGTTCAACTGCTCTGTTCGCTCGCTGGTCACGTGATTACGGCTCCGCTCAGCACGCTGATGAGATGATAGAACGTCACCCTCTGAATGTCATGTCACCATACAAAACACAAAGGCTGAGTTCGGCTTTACACTCTGTAAACTCTGAGCGGCTCGAAACGATACGATCGTTCGTTTAAGTTCTCAGAATGTTCTCTTTTGCGTTGGGCTTATGACCACGTATGACGTCATGATATCCATGCTGATACCGTTCCGCTCCGTGGAGTGCAAAGTCGAACTCAGCCTAGTGTTGAAAATTATAAACACATAATTTATGCTTGCAAAAATGGCGACCGTTTGCATAACATGTTTGGTTTTGTTTTAACCCAAATTCGACGTAGCGTTTAGCAGAACAATCGCAAAACGTTAACCAACGTTTGTATCTGGTGAACATGGCCGTGTGAAACGGTCACAAATGGTGCTTCGGTCGCTGGTCGGTACCAAATAAAAACCGTACACCGAATACTCCCTCGACACGAATAGGTTTCAACAGGTTTTTATAAGGGGATAAATATCTTAGCGTTGAAGATTGTCCTTTAACTACACGTGTAATTCATCGAACGCTTTAGTCGGCATCCTAAAAGTATTCGTTTTCTCTCAGCTTCGGGAAAATGGTATAGAATGCTCCAAATTCTTGCCGAAAAGCGATTAGAGGGTGCACCAATTCTTCTATTTCTCCTTCGTTTTTTGATTCTTTTATACATCATAAAAACATGGCAATAACTTGCCTTCTCTCCATGATTACTACACCACACTACACAAATTTACCAGCCTAAATAGACACGGAAAAAAACACAACTGACGCTTTTGAGCACGCAATCGAGCTTTTGCGCGCACAAATGCTTCAAGCGCGTGTTCGTGTTCCAGCCGTACTACGCTTCGAGAGCTGCTAACTTTTGCGTTTCAAACACAGAACACTGTGCTGCACCGTGCTGCACCGTGCTTGAAGCAAACAGCTGGAAAGCGGCTTTTGGGAGAGCCGTGTATGTGTGACGAGGTTTCATTCGTTTTCGGTTTCTACCAAAAACGAATCCAACCGCATTCGTGTGAAACCGGCCTAAGGCACCCCAGATGCGTCATGTTACCCATGTTTGTATTTCTTTCACACCTAGGAGGAGCTCCGGAACAGCCCTGGGGCGATACGCGCTTATTCTTTTCGAAAAGTGTTTGTTGCAACACGCATCTGTTCCTTTCAAATCGGGGGCGACTAACACCAGAGCGAGTAACTCGAGTGTTTTAAAACTCTTGAAAGGAATTCAACTATTACCAGGCAACCTTACCTTCAACTTTAGCAACCTTTGGATACGACCAATAGACGGTAAGAACCAATTAATTTATATCGGTACCAGTTCTGCCTGCCTTACAACATTTCTATGAATTGCGTCCGCGAACGTAGCTGTTCTCGGCTCGGATTTGTTGGGAAACACTAAAATAATTTTGAAGTCTTTTATAACCACCCACCCGTCGCACACCATCAACAAAGATTCAAAGAGCACATTAAAAAAGCTGCGAGCGCTCAGTTTGGATGAAAACGGCGGACAAGCCCGCGTTTGAGTGGCTTTACCGTGCGTTCGGTATATTGATCTGAGCTCTCCGAGTTTGAATTAATTTTACCGTTCGTTTATTCAAAAAGTGTACTTGGTGCAGGCTCTTTTGCGTTCGTTTATTCAAATTTCGGGCACTCTGACCCAGCGTTCAACTGCTCTGTTCGCTCGCTTGTCACGTGATTACGGCTCCGCTCAGCTCTTTGTGCAAAATACTGAACGCGAGATATGTATCGAGATTTTTTGAGGTTAGGAAGTTCGTTGACAAATCATAAATCTTAAAACTACTTCATTTTCTTTTACTGGGATGCTTTGATTTTTTTGTGATTTTATACATACTTCTTTTTCAACTGTGTTTTGAAATTTTTTTCTAAACCCTCTATCTTCTATTAGTGCAGTTTAAACTTCAATATTGCATTACATTTACAGATTGTTTTTTCTATTTTATCTGGGAGCAATGCATTGCCATCAAATGCATTAAGAAGCCGCTCCTGAATTTCTGTGAAGACCTGAGCATTATAACATGAGCAATTCTTCAAAGATAAATGATACTATTATAAAAATGGTAAACGATTTAAAAGCTACTGGTGGTGGTAGTAGTAGTGGCAAAATTGATGACTACAAATCACCACTGAAACGTTCAATGAGCAGCATTTCCATAGAGAGTTTCGAAGATCAGACTCCAGTTAAACGGTTTAGAAATACAAACAACCTGGATGTATCCTATGTTGGATCTCCTAGAGAAATGAGACGCCTGAGGGCAGATCTTATGGAGGCCAGAAACAATATAATGTGCTTGGAGAACAGAATTCAGCATATGCATAATCTACGAAAGGAAATGCAAACATTGTTTGATAATGAAACAGATGGTCTTAAAAAACAACATGACTATGACAGAAAGACGATTGAAGAATTGGAAATTCAGCTTCAAGATATAAGAAAGAGGGAGGCAGCACTCAAGCTGGAGTTATTGGAGGTAGGTACTTAGATATTTTCTTAAAGCTTATCGCCAGTAAGGCAAAAGCGTTTTATTTTTTCAAGATTTTCAATTCCTGTGTTGCCTTTTTTATGGATTCGTTTGAATTCCTACTTCAATTCTGAGTAACTTCTCTTAATACCTTTCTCCAGTCGCTATTGAGAAATAAATTAATTTCCAAAATTTTAGGGAAAAAGATCGCTCACTTTACCTGGAATAAATTGGGATTTCTCTTTTGTTTTAATGGATGAATATTTTGAGTCATACTCATAACTAAACAAAACTGGGCCTGGATTCCAAACCCACTATTCGATAATAGGTCTGTTTCTGCAGAAATCACAACAGTGGCGGATACAGGGGGCGGGGGGTAGAGGGGGCAATGGCCCCCTCCTTTTTAAAAGAAAATAAAAAAATTTTAAAAAAAAGAAAACAAAACCATATTTTAAGTTTTGAGAATGCTTAGAAAGCTAGAAACCTATAAAAAAAATCACACTTTTGTCCCAAGAACTTTATGCCGGTCGTCCTTTGGATGCGTTTTCGTCCGAACTGCATTTGTCAGAAAACGGACGAATAATTTCGTCAGATTTCGTACACGTAATAACGTGCACCGGACAAGTTTTTGCATTTCGAAGTCAGTCTTTACGTAGTGGAGTGATCTAGAGGATTTTTTGGAAAATAATTTTCTTGTTGGACAGCGATTGTTAAAAAAAAGTGCTGGGTTGGGTGATGATATTTTAGCAAAATGAAAACAATTCGGAGAATTTTTAGCTTCATTCAACTGCCACAATTTTCTCTGCATGCTCATGTAATTAATGTGACATGATTTGTCGGTCATCAATTTTTTGATAACCATTATCTTCTCAGCAACACAGACAACACACATGCATAAATCATCAGAACCACTGCGAAAAATCCCATTTTTTTCGGATCAATCGCAATCGCATGTTTTCTGCCGAATTTGCACCAATAATTTTGGGTATAATGTATACCGTCATTAGGTTTCACTGAAATGGGATCATTCACACTTTTTCGTCCGATTTCTGACAAATGCAATTCGGACGAAAACGCATCCACACAATGCGCCGCCAAAACCAACCAAAACTAACCCAATCTGGCTTACTTTAACTTAAACTCACTAGTCACTAGAAGTCACTATTTCTTTCTCAGTGTGCGAATGTCGTTGGTTTTTGTTCTCAATAAAATAAAGTTTAAATACAGTAATAGTTCGAAATAATTATTGAAATTAGTGTCAGATTAAAGAGAAAGTTTTTCTGTGTTATACCCTTGTGAAATCAAGTTTGAAGAATTATTATTGATGGTGGAAATTCCGTTTTATAGTTTTTCTTGGTGACTATAATGTAGTAAAAAAAAACCATATTCCTTATCGATTTAATTTGCATATCGCTTGAATTTGTTTATTTATTGGACTTCACTTCAACTGGATTATTGTTGACCTCACAAATGTACTACCTATTGTACAATTAATTCTCGACAAGAATTTCAAATTGACGTTTTTTTTTTTTTGTCCTACTGCTGAAATGGCTCTTACCTTTAAATGCTGCAAGAAGACACAGAACAACTGGGTCTGCATACTGTGCCACAATGTTTACCATAAGAGCTGCAGATCAAGACTTGCCAGAGATGTGGACATAATAAGGGATAACCTGGTTTTGTGTTCTGCTCAGTGCTCAAACCTGGCAAGAGAGTCAACTGACTTAACTGACTCAGATCCTGACGTAGTAGCAAGTCTAACGCAAATGATCAATGAGCTTAAAACTGAAGTTTTTGACAAAACAAACTACATTGATAGGTTGAAGCGGGAAAAGCAAACTCTACTGGATGAGGCGGAATATTCAGAAGATCGATTGGTTCGTGAAAATAGCGCCCTTAAACAGAGGCTGTCTCAGTTGGCAAGAAATTCGCTAGAACAAGTAACCAACGCTCCAAGGAAACTTGCTTCTTCATCAACTCAAACTCTTTTTCAAGAGGAAATTCTGCTTCAGAATGACTCTCAGACTGATCCTTGCCTTGCGGGCAGCTCTGATGAGAAACAACAAGCCCTCATGATTGAAATAGCCGAAATTACGAATCTCAATAAACAAATGGCTACTTCAATTGAGACCCTTGATAATGAGAATCGATTTCTTTCGAACGAGCTGGAAGACTTGAAGGAACAACTTGCCTGTTTACATGTTTCCCATGGGAAGCCGAGCGGGGTACCCTCTTTAAGCAGTAAGAGTGCACAATTTAATGTATCTTTGTTCGACGAACTATTAGACATAGATCCGCATGTGACTGAATCATCTAGCTCTATTACATATGCGCCGACTCCACAAACTGTACATGTTCAAGCCAACCCCAACAAAAAAAACAAGATACTGGTTTTTGGTGACGCAAGTTCTAGAGGTGTTGCTGATGGACTGCTAGGCCTGACTAATGAATACCTGATTTATGGAGAATGCCACCCTGCTATTGCAACTTCCCATATGACAGCCAAACTCCTTGGTCTAACGGCGGAATATGGTAATATGGATAATGTTGTAATAACTATTGATTTGGGTTCTTTTGATTTCCTTGATGCTTTTTATTTGGGGATACTATTTTCTATTGGTAAATGTACTAATTTGATTTTTTCTTTGCGATATTCCGACTGGGAATACAACAAGTATGTAAGGTTTGTTTCTCTTTGTCAACATTTCCTCAAATGCCAAAGTGCATCAATTAGAGTTCTGGATAACAATAGGGTAAATGGCAGATATCGATTGTCAAGGCATTCCTTTTTAAGTAATGTTTTGTATTATGTAAAGAGTAGCATGATTTCAAATCGCGTCCTCACACTCTCTGACTCCGGTGCCAAATGTGTGCAGGGCAACATTGTCAAGCTGTCAAATAGTGTCAAGTTGTCAAATAGTGAAGAACTTACGTGTGTAGAACTTAATGTTCCAATTACCCCTGTGGGTCTTGTAGATGGTATTGATCATGTTTTTTCATCTACTGGCGGTGAAAATGTGCCCAACAACCTAGCAATAAATATCTCGCAAAAATCTGATAGCTTGCCTTTTTTATGTCCCCCTTCAATAATAATAGAAGAAGGGTAGATTCAAATTCAAATTCTGTGTCAATACTTACCTTGGACATCCAATCTGTTCGCAATAAAATCAAAGAGTTTGAGGTTTTCTTGGAAAACTGCAACAGACCAGACTTAATCTTGCTCACAGAACATTGGTTAAAAAACTGGGAGCCTTTTCACTTGCCAAATTATTATATTGTCTCAAACTACTGTAGAGACTCCTCCAATGGGTATGGAGGTACAATTATTTTAATGAAAAAATCATTCTCTTTAAACTTCAATATGGAGGAGGTTGACAAGTATGACTTCTTGCGTGTGGAAAAAGAATTCGAATTTTCGATTGCATTTAACAGAAAACACAATTTGTATTTAATTTGTATATATAGACGTCCAAGAACAAATGCTACAGGTTTTTTAGTGAACTTAGAAACCATTTTATTGGATTTACCGGTTAATTGTAAGGTCATTTTGTCAGGAGATCTAAATATTAACTTTATTGACAACCAATCACCAGCTACTCTGGCATTAAAGGACCTACTGTGCTCTTATGGTTTGTCCATGCATGTTGACTCTCCTACCAGGGTAGCTGAAGATTCTGCTACTGTTATTGACTATTTTTGTACTAACTTATCCGAGAACGGGGTTAACTGTGAAATGGTTTCCACCCCTGGACTGTCAGACCATGAGGCATTGTTAGCCAACTTCTCTCTACTCTGCACAAAACAAAAAATACCCCAAAGATATGGGAGGGTTTTTTCAAGTCGGAATTTTGAAAGATTTAATACTTGTTCTTCCTTGGTGGACTGGGAGTGTGTGCTTGCTTCAGAAAAACCTCTGGAATTGTTCCATACACTGTTGCACAATACGTTTGCCAAGAGCTTTCCAGTGTGCAATATGAGAGCAAAAAAGCCCAAAAAAAACTGGATTACGAAAGGCATTAAGACTTCCTCAAGAAATCTTAAATCTTTACATTTCATCAAAAAGTTTGCCGATAGTCAGTATTTTATAAATTATTATAATGAATATCGGAAAATGTATAGGAAAGTTATCGGATCAGCAAAGTTACAATACTATCAAAATAGAATCTCTAATGCAAAAAACCCTTCAAAAGACGCATGGTCCATTGTGAACGACCTAAGGGGCAAGCATAGCCATGCAGAAAAGTCAGCTGATATTCAGCCAAACATTCTAAATGAATTCTACTGTTCAATTGCGAAAAAAATTTCAGACAAGATAGAACCCGCCTTAGATCCCCTCAGTTATCTTAGCCATTCACACATCGATGAAACATTCACTTTAACAGAAACAACTGTAGAGGAACTTAAAATCATAATCAGACATAAAAAATAAAAACTCTGCTGGAATAGACGAGATGTCTGTCAAAATCTTTCAAAACTTAAATGATAATAGTCTCTATGTGCTGTCACAGGCCATCAACAAATGTTTTGAGGTTGGTGAATTCCCCGACTCACTTAAGGTTGCCTTGGTGGTCACCATACATAAAGGTGGCTCCTTCAAGGACCCAGCTAACTTTAGACCCATTTCACTTTTAAATACCCTGTCAAAAATAGTGGAGAAGGTGGTGAAGAATAGACTGACTGTGTTTTTATCACGTAACAATATAATTAGCGATTGTCAATTTGGATTTCAGTCATCTAAAAGTACTAGTGATGCTGTATTCTGTTTCCTGGAGCAATTGTATTTGAAACTGAACGATAGAGAGGTTGCAGCTGCGGTTTTCTGCGATCTCTCTAAAGCGTTCGATTGCGTTAGACATGACATACTCTTGAATAAAATGTATATTTATGGAATTCGGGACACTTCATTGAAATTCTTTACCTCATATTTATCAAAAAGGACCCAAATGGTTAATAACAGGAGTTCCATATCATCAGCCTTAGCAATTGACACAGGAGTTCCACAAGGTTCT